CAGGTCTTGTTGTTATCTGCTTTGCCTGCTAGCTTTTTTGTGTACTGGCCATGTAATACTTTGCCTTGCCATGTCTCTTTTGTATTCTTCATTTGGTCTTTCATGTCGGCCAGTTTTGTCTTTTCAGTATTCAGTAAGCCTCCATGGTGTACTACATTCAGTGTATCTTCTTTACTGTCCTTCAGATATCCTTCCAATGCCTTTTTTTCTTCTTCAACCGTCTGATGTACTCACAACATTCCATGCCCACCAATGCTCCTTGGTAAGTAGAGTCTGTCAATGTCACTGCATGGATGAAGGGCAAGATTCATTGTCATTGTTTTTCTGGTCTTCCTATCCAGGGCTTCTAGTTCTGCTTGAGTTCAGTCCACTATTCCAGTTGTCTATTTAATGACTGAATTGCCTTGATGGTATTTCCATCAGTGAGTTTAAGATCTTCTTTGCTTTCTTTTTTCTTCTTGACTTTAATGTGCTTGATGTTGTCAGCCTGAAGGAAGCCCAAGTATTTGCAGTGATTTCTTCATCCAGACTCTTGATGTTAGGGCATCTTGATTCCTTCAGTTTTCACTATTTTTCCTCTGTTGATGGTAAGGGTGCTATATTTGTCCAGTCCAAACTCTATTGCAATATCTTGGATGTATATGTGGACAGTGTTGAGCAGCAATTCTATTTCAAATGGTATATTTTCCATACAGCTTCAGATCGTCCATTTAAAGGAGGTGGGATAACCTGGCAGATGTTTTTGATGTTTTGATAGCCATGGCCTGACTTGTTCAGTATTGTTGACAGAGGAATCAATGCAATGACAAGCAGTAGTGGTGACAGTGAGTCTCCTTGAACGATTCCTCTCTTAATTTTAACTTCTCCCAGTCTATCACCATTGACCAGCAACTGTGTTTTCCATTGTGCCACTGATCTTTGCACAAAATATATTTCTACTGCAGTAAAATCTTCTAAATTTCTGTTTTAAATGTTCTAATTTTCAATTTCCCATAGGGTTTCATTGAAAATATATAAGAGAAGTAACAAGCAGATTTCAAGAGTACTGATGTGTCTGCACAGTGTATGGAAATTATCCTGTCTTCATTCCCCTACATCAGCAAGAAAAACCCTGCCTTAGATACTATACTTTATCCAGGATGTTAATGCACTAGAAATTGATTTACTACAAATTGAAGATTGGAGGAATGATCTCTCTCTCTCTCTCTCTCTCTCTCTCTCTCTCAATTTCTCTCTCTCAATTTCTCTCTCTCTCTCAATATCAAAAGCTGAGAAAAATATAACTGTAAGGTAAACATTTTCTAACCTAGAAAACCAACTGAAACTTTGTCCTCAAATTGCAACCAACCATTGATCCATACTGGATCAATCATTACATGTTTAGCACCAAAAGCTACTTGGCACCAGATCAAATGCAAAATTTATTTCCTAGAGCTGAGGGGTACAGTCTGTAGCAGAGTGTAGTTAAAGAAATATCAACAAGAAGCAACTCCTGTTTGGGGGCAAAAGAGCTGTAAGTCAGCCAAGTATAATCAGAAAACACCTCTGAGAATTATTGGGAGGGGTGTGTCAGAGAAACCATTCCTATTACTGCTTGAGGATGGGAAACTTAAATGTCAGGTTACCAACATTTGTCTTATTATCAGTGTGTGAATCATTTGACTACACTTTCCTCGTATTTTCTAGTTTAGGCTTCATACCTTTCAGTGGTTTCCAGTTAACTGCCTTGGTGCTGTACCAACAGCATTTTGAAACAGACTGTTGGTATAAAACAAACATGTTTATTTTCACACTGTGATGTGGTTTTAGAGGAACGTGTTATTGAGAGCATGTTATATTTTTTTCATCTGTTGTTAGTGTTTTCAACAGAACAAGACCAAAAGATGCAGTAATGGAATATTACCACATTAAATAAATAACCAAGGCTTCTGAAACAACGTGAGCAGAACTAGATAAGTTGTTTTGTTCCTGTTGCTGGACCAATTCTGTTGTTGACAATGCTTTTGGCAGAGAACTGATTTGTCAAGCAGAATAGAAGGTGGTTTATATCTAGCACTTACAAGATTTCTATCAAAGCTTAATATACATTTGAAAGTAGGTAGCATGTCCCTAATCTGTGCTGGTAGAGTTTTGTATAGGACAGTCTTGAAACAATGAGATAAATTCCCTGCCTTGAAATATGGGGAGTTTTATATGTGCTCTTTGTTTGTAACATGGATATTACATCATGATTTTTCTGAGTGGCTCAGGGCAACACATGTGTTTCCTCCTTCACACCCACCATTTTACCTGCAGAACAATCCTGCTAAGTAGATTAGGCTTAAGACCAAGGTATGACAAATATGACTTGAGACAAAATATTAAAGGGCAAAGATATCACATGGGCAATAAACATATGTATTGTCAAGACCATTGTTTGCCCAATTCTAACATATGGTGTTAAAGAAGCAGTTACTGACCAACAATCCTGGCAAAATGGTGCCAATTCCAAAGAGTCAGAAACTGCTGAACAACATAAAAAGAGTTTGCTCCTGACACAGGAAAAGGAGGGACGGTTTTAGAGAAGATTGCTCAGGCAGGAGAGGTCAGCTTCTTCAAACCTTTATACCAATGTTTCTCAACCTTACCAACATTAAAATGTGTGGATTTTGACTCCCAGAGTTCCCCAGCGATTCTGGGGGTCAAAGTCCACCCATCTTAAACTTGCTAAGATTGAGAAACACTGCTCTATTCAAATGAAATGAGAGCTGAAATTAGGTTCAGGAGTTTGGAAAGGAAACTCTTTTAAATTCTATTATTTTAAAAGGGTACTCTTAGTTTTTATTTTGGACTGAACAAAGCATTTTCTGCTACCCCTTCCATGAGAGCAAACCTATCTGATTTCAGTCTTTTAAAGGCAAGACAGCTGGTGCAAAAGTTCAGAACTATAGGACAAATTAACCGCCCCTCTTTTTAGTGAACAGTGTCTAGGAAAATTGCAGATGTTAGAGGGGTGTCTGCTGCTAGGAAACATGGCAATTTACAGAAATAGGTAAAGGGAATGGGAGTTGGGTTACTTTACATTTAGATTTTATATAAAAAGGGGCATGCACCTCTTTGAAGGCCATAATTAATTTATATTTTCAGATAAAGGACTTGGTATTTTTCTCCTGGTGAATTGAGATTGGAGAGCTTCTGATGAATTGTTCCCTTGTCTGTCACTTGTTTCAACCAACTTCTCTCTCCATCCTTCTTCCTGTCTTTTAGAAATAAAGGTTTAGGGTTGCACAGTGTTTTTCTGTAGTGCTTAGATGCATTGAATTGCTTCACAAGTATCTTGCTTTGCTGTACAGAATCACACAGTCAGTCCAGAGCAGCCTGATTTTCCTCAAGGATCTGTCAACACAGATACAAATTAAAAGGTGAAATCTCCTTTGAGTTCAGCTTGCTTCCTGGTGATTTCATGGATACATCATTACAGTTTTTTTGGCAAAAGCATGGAAGTGGCTTGTTGGTGTCTTCTTCCAGGATGTCCTTTCAACTTCCCAGTCTAGCCTATAACCCTCTGATTTCCTGGAGGTCTCCCATCCAAATACTAACCAGATATAACAATACAATCTCACAAGATTGACAAATCTAATGAGCTTTTGGTGATTTTCATGAGATCATTAAAATCTTGTGACTTTCGCACCAGAGCACTGGAACCTTGGGAGCTCTTACAAATGGAATCAAAGCTTGAAAAGGTTACTGATCCCTAACTTATGACGTTATGACTGAATGGGGATGTACACCAATCCTAATCCTAAATGATCCTGCAAATAAAATATTATATGCAACTGTCAATTTCTAATGCCTATCAGAAAAGGGCTTCCTCTGGTATGGAAACCCTATTACTCAGTTCTCAGAGAAAAATGCTTCCTGCATGTGCTCGGATGTCCTAACATCACTGCTACACATGTTCTGAGCTGTGCTTTAGCATTACAAACACTTTCTGATGACAGGCAAGCCCTAACTTGTCCAACCACATCTTGACTGAAAGTGCTGACTGTGGACAGAGCCTGTCACATGTGTTTTTGACTTCTTGCCTCTGGGTTCCTTATGATTTACCATGGTTTAAAGGCTCATAATAGTAATGGGCAAAGAAACAGATAATTTCTTCCACACTAATGATCTATACTGTCTAATACCATCATTCTGCAACTCTGGAGATGCAGCAGTAATGAATACAGGCTTTACTTTGTCACAATGACGACTAGCTAATGTTATAAAGAATTATAATTTGGAAATGCAATGTGATTGCACAGACTTACTTAGCCTTCTTGGATGGGAAGCAAAGAAAGCATAAAACAGGTATTTTAAAACATCCCAAAGTTTGCTTCTGAATGGTTGCTTCTGGAAATTTCACCACCTATTCTCAAAATCAAATCAAAACAAATAAGGAAGAACGTATTAGAAGAGCAACTACATCAGATTTTCCTGTTCTTAGAGATAGTCCAGTGTCTTATATAAATGAAAACATGGAAATAGAGGATTACCTTAAAGAACATGTTACAAAACAGATGACCTTGTACTAAACTCAGTTTGTCAAACCGAGATATGGAAAATGTCCCTTTGTATATGCAAGTTGCTTCCTCCCTGATATTGTGATGGAATGGAATGATGAAGGCCAGGTTCAGGGAGATAAGCATTTTCTTAGCTCGCTGATGGAGTGTGGGAACTACAAGAGGATGAGACTGGCACCTCCCTGAGGAATTCACACTGTTGTGGCTGGCGGGCCTTGGAGATGCGGGTTCAGTCTTGGCAGAGTCTTGCTAGAGGGTGTACTTA